GGACTGCAGAGAATCTACTGATCAACTTGGGAGTACAGCCATCTTAGTAATATTTTCTATTCCATGAACATAGTATATCTTCCCATCTATTTAGATCTTTCATGTCATTGTCAATAATATTTGTCATTTTTAGTGTATAAGTCTTGTATTAGTTTCATTAAGTTTATTCTAAAGTATTTTATTCTTTTTGATGTTATTGCAACTGAAATTGTTCTCCTAAGTTCCTTTTCAGATTATTCATTGATAGCATACAAAAATACTACTGAGATACAAAAACTCCAATCCCACATCCTGCAGCCTTGCTCAACCTTGTTTATTAGTTTAGTAGTTTTTTTATGTGAGTGGATTTCTCATATCTTTCTCTATATAATCATGGCATTAGTAAACAGAGATAGTTTTACTTCTTTTCCAAGATGGATGCTTTTTATTTATTTTTCTTTTCTAATTGTCCCAGTAATAAACTATAGTACAATACTACACAGTACAGTGTTGAATAGAAAGGATCAGAAAAGACATCCTTTTCTCATTTCTGATTTTAAGAGAACACATTCATTCTTTCACCATTATGTTATTAGCTGTGGATTTTTCATAGGTGTCCTTTACAAAGACAAAAATATTCCTGCCTATTCCTATTGTGTAGTTTCTGTTTTTCAGTTATAAAAGAGCATTGGATTTTTGTCAAACGTTTTTTCTGTACATCTAGAGATGGTTGTGTTTTTTTGTTCTTTGTTTTATTTTTTCTTCCTTTATTTTTATTAATATGACATAGTACACTGATTGATTTTTTTCTACATTAAACCAAACTTGCACTCCTGGGACAAATTCCACTTGGTCATGAAATATAATCCTTTTCATATGTTTCTGAATTCCATTTGCTAGTATTTTGTTGAAGATCTCTGTGTCTATATCCATAAGGAGATTGGCCTATGGGATTTTAAAAAATTTAATTAAAAAAAATTTTTTTTTGCAATGTCTTTGCCTGGTTTTGGTATGAGGGCAACAATAGTGTCTTAGAGTAACATGGAAAGGTCCCCTCTTATTATATTTACCACATTCATTCGTCCTTGAAAGTTTCTGCTTATGTCATTATCTGGCAGGTTCATGCTCTTCTCAGCTCCTCCAAGTCCTGCACATTATCTGGAGCCAGCTCATGACCTCCTTATTCCTGAACCTGTCCTGACTCTTTCAGTCCTAGAGTGAGCTCACCCACTCTAGAGCACCTTCATTTCTCCCTGTGCTTACAGTTGGTACTCAGTATAAAGCGCTGAAGTTGTGCATTGTATAATAGGTAATTGGTGTTCAGAAGAAACTGGAAGCAGAACAAGTGGACTCTTAGTAAATAGAACCTCAGTCAGGCAGCAGGAGGCAGTCGGACACCTAAGTCTAGTGACCCAGGACTGGTAGGACAACTCAGGGCCATGTGACTAGCTCCCTAGTAAGGTTGCAGCCTCCATGAGAGGCGGTGCAGCCAACACTTAAGAATACACTCTTTATGTTTGAATAGTTTGGGGACTTACTGGCTGTATGACCTTGGGCAAGTCACTCTAGCCTTACTTTTCTCATTAGTATTCCAGGGAATAATAATGTCAATCTTAGAGGATAGTAAATATTCCATGAGTTCACCTATGCAAAACATATCACATTAAGCTCAATTAGTGGTAGATTTAATACATGCCATTGGATATTTCTATGAAAAAAAAAAAAAAGGATCTGGAGTCAAAGAAAGGACTCTTGGAAATGTTCTGTACCACATCCCTCGTCTTAGGATTCACAGAGCACATGAACACAGCAGAAGCCCTATAAGTTCCATGTAAAGAATTACCAGCATTACCCAAACCAATTTATCAAAACGATCCTTTTCTCCCCTCTTTTACATATAACATCTATTTCACATACTTCTGGAAGCATAGTATTAATTGTATTTAACTAACAAAGAAAGTCACATTAAATTGTTAAAAACTGGTGGTGTTTAATTGCTTTGCTTTTCCCAAGGCATGTATAATTTAAAAGCAGCAGCCTAGGAGACACAATGGCTTCTCACCTAGAGGAAGAACAGAATGCTTTAAAAGCCCAAAGGAAATGGAAAACCTCAGGCAGAAGGAGCAGATCAATGAGGAGCTATTCTTGGTCACAGAAACATTTCTGAAATTACAGATTCTTAGAGTTCAATAACATGTTGAAGTTCAGCCACTTTAAATTCTGACTCAGTGAAGAAATCTCACTCTCATGGGCCCCATCCCCTGTGGACATATCACAAACTTCCTATTTTTAGGTGGCTTTACTAATTATGAAATTCTCCCTCACACTGCACTGCAATCTGCCTCCTTGAACCTCTACCCAAGATCATGTTGATAGAATTTCTGTTGTTGCTGTTGTTTGTACCAGGGATTGAACCTAAGGGTGCTTAATCACTGAGCCACATCCCCAGCCATTTTTTATTTTGAGAGAGTGTCTTGCTAAGTTGCTGAGCCTGGCTTTGGACTTGTGATCCTCCAGCCCCAGAGTCACTGAGATTATAGACATGCAACATTGCATCGAATGAATTTTGAGTTTTGAGTTTCAATGAGAGTTTTCCCTAAGTAAAATGTTACATTTAAAAATCATTGTAACATAATTGAGCAGTGAACTGAAAATAATAATTATTGGAAACAATATTTTTCATTTTCTCCATCTAAAAGGTGGGCAGACAGAAGTTCAGTTATGCTGTAAGCAATACATGCAATTTTTACTTTGTGGACAGGATTGTTTTGTAATTGTCAATTTCCTGGAAGAAGGGGAAATACATATTTTTAGATTATTTCTATATTTCAATTTGGGGGGGGGGTACTGGGGTTTGACCCCAGGGGTATTGGACCACTGACTCAGTGAATTTAAATTCTGACTCAGTGAAGAAATCTCACTCTCATGGGCCACATCTCCAGCCCTATTTTATATTTTATTTAGAGACACAGTCTCACTGAGTTGCTTAGCACCTCACTTTGGTTGAAGCTGACTTTGAACTCATGATCCTCCTGCCTCAGTCTCACAAGCCACTGTTTATAATTCCATTTTAATTTTTAAAGTATTTAGATATTTTTAAAAATGTATACTCCAAAGTGTTAGCTCCCTTATTTATTAAATGAGCTTTTAATATAAATACATACTTAATTGGAATATAGCACATGTTTCATAAGTGGAAGTTTATAAACAAGAGTCAATAATGGGAATGGGTGAAATTATCCATATTTTATAGAAATGTAGCTGCTTGATCTAATATGAGCTTTTGCAAGCTTTTGAAAATCTTAAAAACTTAAGGAAACCTCAAGAGGGAAATAGAATGTAGACTTAAGTGAGAAGAGAACTTCTGAGCTCTCCATCTCCTCTGAGTCCAAAACAATTCAAGACGACTTCAGGGACATGGCAGAACCATTACCTACTATAAAAAAGACAAGTTGGTTTTATAGGATCATTTTTCCAAAGGCGAACTTTCCACACGACCTCATTTTTGCATAAAATGACTTCTTGGGCATGCTTTAGTAGTACCTGTATCTCATTCTGACACAGAGGCAAAGATTCACGTTCCTGTTTTACAACTGAAGAAACTGAAGTAAAATCAAAATGGATTCGTACTGGGCGATATTCACGGGCATTCCAACAGTGGGGTCCCTCAGGGCTGGCTGAGTGTTCCTTTCAGTTAAGTCCTCTCCTTCCTGAAGGGTGAAGGCAATGAAAAACAAACACAGGCCTGTCGACAGTCAGTGGTGGTTGAACGAACGGATGCTGCTGGGAACACCATAGGGCATAAGGCATGCTGCCTGCCTGAGGGTTTTGTAATTTGGGCACAACAGTAAGTAGTGTCCATTAGAATTTACTGACACACACCACTGAAAGAGAAGTTGTCTTTCTCCTTGCAACACAGTAAGAATATTACATTTCCTACATCCCTTCCTTCAGCCTGCATTAGGTACCAGGGCCAGACATTCATAGGAACTTTAAAAAAAAAAAATTTATAGGACACCGAGTTAAACCCGGTCCCTGACTTCATGAGAGTAACAGTCGAACGAGAGACAGACAAGCAAATCAGTCATTTCCATAGGAAGTTCTTTGCTGGAGCCAGGCTCATGACATTGGAGAGCATGGGTGAGGGCAAATCAGTCAGACTAGGTACTTGCAAAGGCTTCTTCAAGGAGCCTATTTCTTTCTTTTTAAAACTCAAAGTGAACTTTTGTTTCTTTTTAAAAAATTTTTTTTAAGTGTAGATGGACAAATCTCTTTATTTTATTCAGTTATTTTATGTGGTGCTGAGGTTCGAACCCAGTGCCTCATACATGTGAGGCAAGTGCTCTACCAATGAGCTATGACCCCAACCCTCAAGGAGCCCATTTCTAAACTGTCAGTGCAGCCAGCTGACTCTGACTTCAGTGCCCAGCACTCAGGTGATAAGTTCCCCCTGACCCTGCTTTTCTGAATTTTTGACACAGACATCGTGAGATTTGGTGCCTGTGTTCTAAGAGGGAGGAAGGCAGGAGGGAGGGAAAGAAGGAGGAAGACAAAAAGAAGTTACAAGTTTCACCAAAACACATCCCAGAAGCTGCTAGAGATGGCCAGGGGTGCAAAGGGTGCTCGCCCTGTGCCTGAGCAATCTGTGGCCTCAACTCGAATGTGAGGTCTAGTCTGTGGTCATTTTCTCTTTGCCAAGTAATGGGACGTGGGAACCTGGTCTTCGATCCTGAGGACCTTGCTGGGCGGGGCCGTGTACTGCCATCTACCAACAGGGCAGACAGACACCAACGCCCGGTCCCTGTGCACTCCAGGAAAGTGAGGCCAGACTCGTCTGCTAAGTCTCCAAGGTGACTTCTCCACACAGAACGCACTAGTGCTGCCAGCATGCCCCAGGTGGGACACACTTGTGAGGCTGTTCCTGCCTGGTGAATCCCCAAATGGCACCTGCCTCCTTAGGGATCCCATTCCCCAACCTAGGAGTACACCAGAGAAATGAAAAAGAAAGTGCAAGTTATTACCTTAGATTGTCCTCCAGGGTCTCCTCATCTGAAGAGAAGGTCTCATTGCTGACACTCTGGGAAGAGGAACTCTTCTTCCCCACCGACTCCTCCCGGGACAATGAAGTGTCTTTCTTTTTCCTTTTGCCAAACAACTTCTTAAAAGGCTGGAATCTGCCTCCCTTCTTCTTGTCTGTGGATTACAAGATAAACACAGTTTGATAGGGCCGTGCCTCTGAGCCTAGGAGCAAATGACAACCGACTTGCCTCTGGCCCAGGGAGCCAGAGCAAAGGGCAGCCAGAGACCAAGCCCAGTGCCAGGAACAGAGGAGCCAGCCCAGCGCAGTCTGTGCTCAGTAAGGCAGAGCACAAGCTGAGGGCATGGTAAGACTGTGTCCCCAGGAGCCCAAGAAACATCTGGGGTGAATGAGAAGAGGTTCCAAGCTTCATCGTGGCTGCTATTGTACCCCTTCACGCAGGCTACAGGAAGGTCGTGTCTGCTTTCTTTAACAAAGCAGATGGACAGGGGCTGGGGCTGTGGCTCAGTGGTGGAGCACTTGCCTAGCATGTGTGAGGCACTGTGTTCGATCCTCAGCACCACATAAAAATAAATAAATAAAATAAAGGTACTGTTTCAATCTGCCAAAAAAAAAAAAATAGCCAATGTCCTTTTCCAAAGAAGAGGCTGAGAAAAACATGTAAGTCATGCAAGTCACGCAGGTGTTTGTGTTTACACACACACACATCTTTGATCATATGCTTCTGTATTAGATATAGAATATAACTGCTAACTCTTGGTACAAGGTTTGCCCTCAATACCCCACATCGCCATATATCTCCATTTTTTTTCTTTTATCTCTTTTTAAAATCTACTATGAAGAGCCCCCAAGGAATTGCTGTGAACACTTCCCCACACATTACTGCATCTAGTCAGGACCTAGGCTTGCTGCCAACATTTGCGGCAGATATTTTAGGTAATCCCTTGTAGTTCTGCTCTTTCGTACAAATTCCTTCACGTTACTCCACTTCTACCTTGGGAAAGAAAATGTAAATCACTGTCTACCAGAAATCACATTTTTTCTCATCTTTCCTTTAAGAAGCTTAAAAAGCCACTTAGCCAGTGATCTGATAACCATTTTTAATGGTTTTTAAACTTGTTTACTTGTATATTACTGCAGTAAGAACTTTACAGATAGTAACTGAGTTCATCTTCACGACTATAAGTAGACTTTAATAATGTCCCCATTTTACAGATGAGGAATCTGAGACATGGAGAGGTGGAATAACTTGCCTATATGTGGGAAATACATCTCTAAAGCCAGAGTCAGGAGTTCTGAAAGAGAGGGAAAGGTGGAAGCTCACAAAGTAGACTGAAAAATACCTGCTCAGAGCACCCGGATCCATCTCCAGAGCCCTGGAGCTTTGCTGGCCACAACCTACAAAGGGATCTGGGGTTAACAGTGAGGTCAAGGATGTAACCAGCTGGGTCTCCTTTCGTCTGGTGACCTTCAGTGCTAGTGTTACTTCCCTGAAAATGTGAAGCGAGGAAGAAGTGGTTCCAACCAAGGTCACCATCAGTAGTTACATAAGGTGCTGAGGAAGCAGGCAGAAAGTTCACCATTACAAAGAGAAACAGCCTGGGATCTAGTACAGGTGCACACAGACCCTCAAACTTCAATGTACTCAAGTTTGCTTTAGATCACATTTAAATGGAAGTGATGTTTATAACACAGTAGATGCTTCATACACACCATTTGTATTGTGCTAGGCATTCAGTCCTCAAAAAAGGATTAAATTATTTTACTGAATGTTATTTGAAAGATAAGAAAGTGGGCAACACAATTAAGATCATATTTTAAAATGGTTAAAAAGAACTGGAGGGCAGGGGTTGTGGCTCAGTGGCAGAGTGCTTGCCTAGCACATGTGAGGCGCTGGGTTCGATCCTTAACACCACATAAAAATAGAAAAATAAAATAAAGGTATTGTGTCCATCTACAACTATAAAAAAAAAGACTGAAGGTTTGATTTCAAAATGTTTGTTCATTTTCAATGGTTATTTATGCAAGAGCGAATATGCCAGTGATTTTCATGAAGCCTACTTAGGGTTTTCATGAGTAAAATCCCTCCAAATGAAACAATCTGTATGGAAATTGATGAAACAAGTGAATATCTTCTCTACAACTGTCCGAGGCTGAAAATATATAAATGACGCCTGATTTCTAACTTTGACAACATCGTAGTAAACAGTCACATAGCAACTTATACTATGCTTCACTTATTTCCAACATTGTCTTTATTTTTTCCTTTTATATCAACTGTTTTTTTTCCTCACTGCAGAAATAACTAACCCCAAATTTCCTAATCATAAATATTCCAAAGGATAATAGTAAAATTCCAGAAAATACCAATTTGGGTATCCTGACCCCAACCTGGGTCTGCAGTCTAGCATTTAAGCTAAGCTACAACTATTAATAGGAAAATAATCATGAGTGCTGTAAAGTTATTTTGTTGGTGTTCAGTTGAAATGGAACCAAGGGAGTTAATTATAATTTAAAATTAAAAAAAAACACAATTTTTTTGAACAGGTTACTGGCATATTTAACCAACAGGTAGACCTGGTGTGGGGGTCAGCTCAGAAGGTTGATGAGGTTCTCAGAGTCACAGCCACATGTTCTGAAAGGTGGCGGCCACCACGTGAGATATTTGCTGTGTGGGCCACGTGGTTGGGGGACAGAGTGAATAGAGCATGGAAGGAGCTGAATGTGAACACAGGGTGGGGAAAAGGCAGCCCTGGAGAGGACACCAGGATCCGAAGCCTTAGCTCTGAGACCTGGGTGGGTTTCCGTAAGCACACAATGGCCTCCATCAGGTGACCCACCCACAGGGCTAGCCTGTTTGAGGACTGACTGTGAAATAGGTGCTGCCACTTGATGCTGTACCTTATATGGGCAATAACCTGGCACAAGTACATCATTCTGGAGGGCGTGTCGAAGTCCAGGTGTCATAGTGCACTTCTCAGGGGTCACCGGGGGTGCTGTTTCAGCAATGCCTCAGGTATTACCACAAAAGGAAAAGGAAGCAACACCTGTCCAAACTTCCATTCAACGACCAGCCCTCCTTACCAGGAGGGGGAAAAGGTCATGTCCTGAGGACACAATCTCTCTTTCAGAACACTCAGAACACAAGACACTTTTGTTAGAGGTCTGCTCCAGAGTCTATGTTTGGAGACGTCTCCATTATGAAAAAATAATTTCCCCATCCTCATTTCCAAAATTATTATGCACTTCCTGTCAGAAATATCATTAAATCTTAAGATTTATTTCATTAATGACCATGGCAACTCACTGATTTTCTAGGATTAACTTTATGAAAACATTCAGTTGTAACATGTAAGCACACCCTACGTGGAGACAGCCAAACTTAAGTGACATTAGGAGGGAATACACTTTATAAAGCAGAGGAGTTATACTGTGATTTATCTGATACCCCAACTTATACTTTCAGGTTCAAGATCTCTCATCAAAAAAAACAACTTCGAAACACACAATGACCATTACGAAAATTTGAGTGTGTGTCTATTAATATCCATTAAATAGACTGGTTTATTATCAACATATGGTTTGGGAGCAGTGTTTGCAGCCTGTCTCCACAGAATCAGCTACACTAAGTGCACGGTTGCCAGTAGCAGACATGTTCTTGACAAATTACCGATCCTGCGAATGCTTCAGTGGTTCACAGATGGAACCTGAAAGATCAAAGCAATTTTAGCAATATAGGAAAACAGCACCCTTCCACATTGCTATTGTGAAATATCCCCAAACCCAACAGCCAGGAAGTACAGTCTAGCAAAGTGGTTTCCAACATAGAGTATTTAAGGTGGCATTTTGGAATTTTATGACATTAAAGTCACTTTTGTTGGGCAGTTGAAGCAATGGGGAGAAGGGGAAGGAAAACTGCTAGTACCACCGAATTGGCTTTTTTAAAGGTTACAGCTCCAATTAGGGGTTAAGTGTTTGGGCTCGAGATGAGAGCTTGGCCCAGATCCTGATCCCATCTTTATTAGCTATGGAACATCTGCTCACCAGCCTCTCTAAAAATTTACCCTCTTGGGCTGTATGAACATATTTATAGGCAAAAAAAAGCAGTGGGCACCACATTTTCTTAATATTTCAGCATTTTTCTGTAATACTCTTCCACATGAAAGAATCTATATATGCATATATACTGCTTTAGGGATCACAGCAATTTTTATTTTTTAAGTATGGGATTAATTTATTTTCATCATCCAATAATTACTTTTAGGGATTTTTTTTTCACATAAAGAAGTGTTCATTATCCATTATTTCATGGATATAATCACATACTATCTGATGGCTGCATCATCATAATTACTAGTTTATTTAGACGATCCTAAAAATTAAAAATCACTGGGCAAGTCAAGCAAATCTGGTTCATTTTCCATTTGTCATAAGGATGCAATTCTTACATTTTCATTTCTAAACCTAAAATAATAACAGCTTCCAATTCCTCTGCATCAAAGTTCTATTGTATGTTTCTAAATGAAAACCAGAAATCTCCTATGATAGTTCATTTTAAAGCTTCATGAATGTCTTGGTCTCTGGGATTTCTCAGAAGTCAGTATAGTTTCTTAAGGCCAGTACATTTGAGAATCCAGGAAAAATTTTAAAAAACAAAACAAAGCAAAAACACCAAACAAATTTATTGACTATGGGACCTTTCAGAATCCTTAATATGCTGCGATCACTACTGGTCTCTAAAGAGCAAAGAATACACAGTGCTTCCTAGACTGTTTTTGAAATTCACTCTTGGAAATTGAAAGTCTCATTTGGCCAAGGAAACTTCACTTTCTTGACATTCATCATGACTGGGGTTCCTCTAAACACACTTTGGGAAATGGTCTGCATTATTTCTTTCAAACATCTTTTAGTTTCTGCAGGCACCATATATTTTGCAGGTATGTGCGCGCACGCATACACACAAACACACAAACACACACAAGTACTCCACCTCTAAACCCTGGTGCACATCAGTCAGGAAACATGAGTGGATTGCCTGAAACATTTTGAGCTTCACTGGTTAAATAAACCTAATGTTTTAGGTAACTACTGATTTCAGCCATGCATACATTAGGACATGGTACACAGCAATTGTTTGAGTCCTGTAATTTTAGTC